GCTGGTACATGTTCTGCCCATTATTGAGAGTGGAATATTAAATACTATTTTTGAATTATTTATTTTTCTCTTCACTTCTGTAAGTTTTTACTTCATGTATTTTTAGAGCTCTGTTGTTAGGCGCATACATGTTTAATTGTTATACTGGACAATGATATACTATGAAAACAACCATAAGTGAACTGGAGTGTTTATACTCATATCAGATGAAATCGACTTTAAGACAAAACAATGTTACTAGAGACAAAAAGTTCACCACCCCCCTCAGAATTTTGAAGGTGTGCCTTTCCTTTCTGGGATCAGAGTAATGATGGCTATGGCCGGCCTGCTTTTTCTCTCTGAATTATTCTGAGACCTTCACTGATCCTTGGAAGTCTAAAACTTCACAAGGGTGTGTCTAGCACTGGGTTTTGCTCATCCATCCTGTCTTGAAACGGGAAGGTTTTCAGCTACCAAATTTCTTGTTAGGCTCCGACAATTTTCTCCGTTCTATTTCCCTCTTGTTCTCCTTGCCTAATTAACCCAGAGGGATTCTAAGTATAGTCTGTTGGACCAGCTGTAGCAGCAGCATCCCCTGGTAAGACTTAGGAAATTCAGAACCTCAGGCTTTACCCCAGAACCCCAGAGCCACAATATGCATTTTAAGACCTGCAGGGGGCACCTGGGTGGCTTAGTTGGTTACGGGGCTCCGTGCTGAGCCTGAAGCCTACTTTTAAAAAGAGATCTGCATGTGGTTTGTCTGCACAAAAAGATCTGAGCGGCACTGGGGCCGACCTCTAATCTTTTCTTTCATGGTATCTTTTTGCTACCACCACACCCCTTTTAGGGTTTTATTTCATATTCTAGCAGATTTCCACTATATTGTCTTCCAGAATAGTTATGGAGGATTTTTTCAGCAGCAATATTTTTAAAAAATTTTCTTGCTGTTTACTTATTTTTGAGAGACAGAGAGCACGAGCAGCGGAGGGGCAAAGAGAGAGGGAGACACAGAATCTGAAGCAGGTTCCTGGCTCTGAGCTGTTAGCACAGAGCCCGACACGGGGCCCAAACCCATAAACTGTGAGATCATGACCTGAGCCAAAGTCGGACGCTCAACAGACAAAGCCACCCAGGCGCCCCTATGTTTTTAATTTCTCTTGTTCGTTTTCTTTTACGGCAAACGATTCTTATTTAATAGATGCGATGCTTCCTAGAATCTGTCACGGTGTTTAAACCCCATCAATCCTGGATTCTGCTTTCAGGGGCACTGTTCTCCTTGCTAACGTGGATCTCTCTCTTCCAGCAGCTGGTTTCCTTCAGCCCTGAGTCAGCCATGGTTGAATGCTCCTGGTTCAGAAAAGGTGGCCGAGGCTTTTCCAGAAAGCTGCTGTGCAGCTTTTTGTTGTTTACCCACCAGTCCCTCCCCCAACTCTAAAGGCTGCAGATCTTGGCAGCAGGCGGAGAGGCCTTAGGCTGGGCAGTCCCTAAATGCAGGGTGAAGGGACGTGGTGGAAACGGAGATTCACTGCCAGGAAAGGCTTGCTGCCCAGCCTCGGGGAGTGTGGTCAACAGGCAGCCTTAGCCGTCAGCCCCTTTGGGGTCCGCCTTGCCTGAAGAGAGTCACGTCACACAAAGCCACCCCCTCCCGGACACCGGTGATGAGCCGGATGAAGGTCCAAAAGGCTGACCGAGGCCTGGCAGGTTGTCACTGCCAGCTGACCGCCCCCTCCCCTGCCCTATCCAGTGTTGAACCCCGACAGCTGTCCTGTATCCCAAACTCTACCTCAGCGTCTGCTTCCAGAGAACTCCAGCTGGCACAGCTGTTCCCGGACTGGTCTGAGAAGGTGGGCAGTAAGATGGGCCCGGCAGTCTGAGTCAGGCCCATCCCGCTGGCAGCGACTCTTGCGCTGATGGGCAGTGGAGCTGACAGCCCCTGGTCTGAGGCGTCTGTCCAGCCGCCAATGATTGTGTAGGGATGGGTCATCCAGATGGCTTGGCGCTAAGCCCTTTCCTGTTTGACAGGAAGACAATGAACACCTGGGTGCTGGGGGACAGCCACTGAATGCCAGGTGGGGCCTCCGGTCACTAGTAGAGAAGTTCTCATCCCCTTCAAGGGTGCTGGAAAGAACCCAAGCCTTCACACTCAGGACAGCTGGATCTCAAGGACGGCTGCAGCCAAGGCAGGCCCAATGAGCCAGGGTCAGAAGCCTAGCTGGGAGCCTGGGGCTGCACACTTGGGGTGGAAATGCCCCAAAAGCTTTGACACAGACTCTCCTAATCCTTCTGAGCCTGCAGACACGGTCCCCACCCGCCCCGAGGAAGACAATGCAGACACTTAGCTTCCTCCCGAGATCATACCTGAGCAATCTCCCCTCCCCACCATGAGGCCTTTGCTGGGCAGAGTCCAGCAGAACCTGGCCAGCCAGCTTTGCACCCGGGGGAAAAGGATCCCACCCGAGGAACCTCAGGATCCTTCCGGCTGACATTAGGGGAGCTGGGGCCAGGCTGTGGGAGTGGATGCTGGAGCCTCTGATGAGGGGTTACAACGTCCCCTGACACGGAAGATGCTGTATTTGGGAACTTTCTCCTGAGAGACCAGATTAGAGCCTTCACCATGACCTTTAGGACTTGGCTGGACCTTGCCAGGAAACTTGAGGTGGAGAGGTCACATTGTCACAACAGAAAGCAGCAAGAACAGGGAAGGAGGCTCAGGGGACCTGGGAGGTTGGATGGGATGGAAACCTACACACACACACACACACACACACACACACACACACACACACACACATGAATTGGGGATGTGAGGGCCAGCAGCTCTGAGTGGGGTCCACACGACTAGTCGACCTGGAGGTGGTGAGAAAAGACGCCACATGGAGTTTGTGGCCCCAGTGGGAGAGTCACACAGGCTGTAAATGAGGAAGGCCTCCATGCAAAGAGTAGGGAAGCGAGTGTCCTTGAAAAACAGTACCAGGCGCGGCAGAGACAGACATGACTCCCCAGCGCTCATGACAGGAATGGTCAGGACACTTCAGAATTCCTAGAGCTTCTGGAAGGATAATAGACTCCAGGCTTCCAGCTGTCGACAGGAGAAATGAATGGGGGCGCCAGGCCCCTGCTGGGAGCTGGGACCGTGACCCCAGCCCCTCAGGCTATTCCTTCCACTGGCCCCTCAGTGCCAGGGGCTGCGGCACGTACCCAGTGCCCAGACACCAGGGGGTCACCTCTCCCTTGGCATCCAGTCCTGGGCATGCGTGAGGGGCCAGATCAGCAGAGCCACCCCGTCGAAGGCCACAAAGGGAAGGTGAGTCACCTGTCCCCGTGCCAAGACTATCCCTGGCCAGCACGACCCCAGTCTCTGCCCAGGTCCGGCCTGTCTAGCACAGGCACAAGCCAAGGCTGGGGTCCTGCGCTCTGGTTCCAGCCGAGAAACCAGGGCGCCAGTCCAGACGATCGGGGAGCAGCCAGTTAGCTGCCCCACACACTGCCCCAGGACTGTCACTGTGGCAACCAGAAAGACCACAATGACTGTCCATCATATAACACCAAAACATTCCCACTGGTATGGCTGCAACCCACAGTGCATGTTCCCATCCCCGCTGATCCTGGATGAGAACCGGGCCAGGGATCTGCAGCCCTGACTTGCTCTCTGGCCTGCCAACCCCGGGGTCCTGAGGGGTGGCGCCGCTCCCGTCATCGTTCCCGGGGACACAAGTGACCAAACAGGGCTCTCTGGCCGTGCTCCTGGCTGTGAGGTCTGGGCGAGAGGCAGAGGTGCGGCGTCCTCGGGGACGGCAGCAGGCCTGCCTCTGTCGGAGCGGAGACGTAGGTGAGGACGACGGCACCTCAAGCCCTACGCGCAGATCCGCCCGGCGGGGAGCACCGGCCACTCCAGCTTTTCTGCAGACCCACGGACGGACGAGGCGAGAGGAGGGGACGGTGTCCGTCCCCTGCAGGGTGACCTGTCCAAAGGTGCTGCTCCCTCCCTCTCTTGCAGCTGACCAAGTACCTGGCATGGCGGGGGCGGGGGGGGGGTGTCACGGCCTAGCCCTCCAGCCCCCCAGTGCCCACCAGCTACCCCCACCCACCCCCCACGCACAGCCTGCACACCTAAAACTGAATTCTCTCAATCTCCCTTGGAGGCCTTGGCTCCTCGGCCAGGGCTACGGTCGGTTCAGGCTGCTGAACTTTAGGTCTTTTCCCCAACAACCAGTCGGGCCAATTCCAGTGGCCGCACGTGGTGGCTGATTGGTCTGAAATATAAGCAGGCGGGGAGCACCGCCCCCCAACCGGCTTGCTAGTAGCTTCTGACAGATCTCGGTGCTCACGGACCTCCCGCGCTCTCTGGAGGGAGACACGGACTCCACGTACGGGGCCACGGTCCCCACGCTGCACCCCTGCGGCCCCACCGAGGCTGGGGGAGACCCGCTGGCCCCGGCCCCTAGCCCTGCTGCTCTCCCCTCCGGAAAGCAGCCCGGGGCACCTCCCCGCCCGCTGACGCGAAGGGCGGCGTGGAATGCAGCCTGCCGCTCCACCGCTCCACCGGGCCGCCGGCTCCCACGCCCTCACACTGCGGCGACACCCCCACGGAAGCCGGTTTCCCCAGGGCAAGGGCGTCACCTGGGCGGTGGGTTCAGAGGCCGCTGACTCCTCCAGTGGCTCATAGTGGACTAGCGGAGGGCGGACGGGTGTCCCCGCACCCGGACCTGGGCGTGGCGGCGGGGTCGGGGCCAGGCCCGAAGCCCAGAGGAGGACTCTGCCCCCACCCGTGCTGTGCCAGTCCTTCGCAGACCTCAGAACCGAACCGCGTGCCTTACGACGCTTCTCCCAGCTGCTCCGGCTGGCAAGCAGAGGGCCTGGGACAGAGGAGGGCCAGCCAAGGCGGGGGCCCAGGTCCGGGGTCCTGCCCACAGCTGCTGCTCCTCGCTGCCACAGCCCAACGACCGGGCAGCCTCTTTCCTACACCAGCTGGGGGAGCTACTGAAACGGCCTGTTTTTAAAGACCCCGTTTATCGTAAAAGAATTACAGCTGCGCGTAAAGTTCCAAACACGGCCCAGAGATCCGGGGGCACGAGAGCCTTCGGAAAGGCTTTTCCACAGGATTGAAGCACGTCCCCAAACCAGGAACACGGGTGGAGCCCTAGGTCACTGCTCACGGGTGCGCGCTGCTGTGCACACTGCACTCAAGAAGCAGGACGGGCCCCTCAGCACAAAACTGTCCCTCCCCAGACAACCGATAAGGAAGCAACGGACTTCTGAGAGGCTGCCAAACTCTTTGATTTCCCGCAGAACGTGGCGGATTCCCAATAAACGCAAGATGCCGTGACTGATCCCTGGCCTGGCGAGCGCAGTTTCTGACCGGCACGGGTGCTGGGAACGGCAACCAGGGGTTCCCAGCTCCGTGCATCCAACGGAGCAAGAGTCCACACGCTGAGCCCGCACCTGCTCTGGGCGGCCTAGGAGTCCCCTCGAGCTCCCACCCAGCTCTTCGCCAGGGTCTCAGGGAGGCCAGGGAACACCTAGTGAGTCTGACACCCTGCGGGGGGGGGGGTGGGCAGAACCACCCCACCCCACCCCGGCTAGGTCTCCAGGGGTGGGCTCCCGCGCCCTCAGCTGGAGAGCCCGGTGACCCACCCTCCAGATACCACCTTCTCCCTGCTGTCGGCATGTGCAGGGACGGACGCACGAGGGCACCGCTGGCACTACGGGCAGAGCCCTGTGTGGGGAAAAGACCCGCAGGGGCCTCGGGGATGACCCCCGCTAGGGAAGGGGGGGGGGGGGCGGAGAGCAGGAGGCGCTTTCTGGGGCAGCTTCAGACAAGCCAGGGAGGCGCACACGCCGGGGAGCCCGCCACACACCCCTCTAAGTGCGGCGGCCAGGACTGCGGGAGGCGGCGGGCTCACCCGAGGGGACCGGCAAGGAGCGGGGACGGCCCTCGGCGCTGCGGGGCTCGCTCCGCCCTGCCGCGTCTCTACTGAGGGGAAACGCGCGCACAACTCGCCGCGGCGGCCGTCCGCGCGCCCCCAAGCCCATCGGCTCCAAAGAGCGGACACCGACAGCCGCCCCGCCTCGACTCGGGCTCGCACCGGACCCCGCTGTCCTCTCGCTGAGCTGCGGCCCCCACTAGCTCTGGGCCGGGAAATCAGCCCGGGGCCGGGAGTCGAGCCCCGGGGCGGGAGCGCGGGGCGGCGCCGGACGTCCCGCCAACCCCACGGAGCCGGCCGGTCCCGGGGACGCGGTACCCAGCCGAGTCCCAGGGTCTGCGCCGGCGGGCTGCGCGCAGGCGCGGGCGGGCAAGCGCGTCACGGCGCGGGTGCGGCCGTGCGCCGACGCGGCGGGACGTAAACACACACGCAGGGGGCCACGAGGGCGGGCGCAGGCGCGGTGGGGACTAGGAGGGCGCGGCGCAGGCGCATTGGCCGCGCGCGCGATGGGCGGGGTGTGGACGGCGCTGCGATGGCTGCCCGCGGGTGTCGGACCAGCGAAGCCCCCGGCGCCTCTCGGAGCCCGGCCTCCTGACGCCGCCAGTGGGCGGGGTCGCCCGGGCCGCCGCCACCGCTGTCATGTATCCGCCGCCGCCGCCGGCGCCACATCGGGACTTCATCTCGGTGACGCTGAGCCTTGGCCAGAGCTACGACGGCAGCAAAAGCTGGCGGCGGCGCTCGTGCTGGAGGGTGAGGGTCGGCGCCGGGCCGGGGTCCCGCGGCCCGCCCGCCGCCCCCTGCCTGGAGCGCAGGCGCTCGTCCGGGCCCGGGGAGCGGTGGTCGCCGGCCGCAGGCCGTCTTTACAGCCCGCGCTCGGCGGGGCGGGGTCGGGGAGGGGGAAAGCTGTAGGCTGCCCCTCGGTGCGGTGGGTCAGGAGCCCCGCGGTCTCGGGCTGCAGGGCATCGACACCCCCACATCGGGGCAGATGCGGGGTCCCGCCGGCTGCCTGAGACGGAACACGCGCGTCGCGCGAGCCTTTCCTCACGGCCCCTGCGATAGGACACGTATGGCTTCTGCGTCTGTTGTTTATTTCCGTTCCCCTATACCGTCTGGAATATCCCCGCGGCTCGTCAGTCTCTGCCGCCGGGGCGCTTCCCCCGGTTCAGAAACCGGACCTTGGGAGTTACCCACTGTCCTCCCTGAATTTGCAGCGGTCGCACGGGTCCCAGCTGTGTTGTTTTCCGTCCCGTAGAAATGGAAGCAGCTGTCGAGATTACAGCGCAACGTGATCCTTTTCTTCCTCACGTTTCTCCTGCTCTGCGGGCTCCTGTCCTACATCAGCGTGGCTGACCAGTGGAGAGGTACCGGCTGCGCGTGTGCCTCAACCCCATGCGTGTGCGTCACTGACTGCGGGTGGCTGGGCAGAAGCGCAGTCTGGCCGTGCGCCTTAAGCGCCTGGAGCGTCCGCGAATTGGCGAGAAGCGCAGATGAAAAGGAGCGGAGAGTGTCTTTAGCCACCCTGCTAGAACGTGGCTCGGGTTAACGTGATGTTGCCCGCCTGCTTCCTGGGTGTCCGGTGTAAGGGCCGGCTTCTCCGTCCTCTGTGCCTCACGGAGACGTTCGGGTCCTGAGGTCGCGTGCCCCGTCCAGACACGCTCCCTGAACTTCCTGACACGTGTTACCGTGTGTTCCGAGCGGCCGGGCAGTCTGGGTGAGGGCGTAGGGAACCCCTGTGGGGGAGGAAAGCTCGGGAGCTGCTGCAGGCGGCTGGAGACAGCTGCACATAGGCCAGCGTCTGCGCTTCCTGGAAGGGAAGCCGCTGAGGGGAGGTCCGTGTGGGCTGGGCTGCAGGACGGAAGCTGCCGAGTGCTTTGAGGAAGGTTTGGTTACCCTTGGCCGTTCTCGAGTTGGTTTGAAGGACCTTCCCCAGGTCTCACGGTGTCCTCTCGTGGTGAGGAGCGCCCACCTAGACGTGTTCCTCCGCGCGCTCGCTCGGGCTCTCCTTGGGGCTGTGCGGCACGTTTGGGATAAAATCTGTTCTCTCGTTTAGCCGTGGATGGCAGGTCAGCGGAAGAGCGGAAGGTGAGACCAGCAGGTCCGCCCGTCTTGCCGGCTCCTCAGAAGGCAGATGCTAATCCAGAAAACTCGCCGGGGCTTTTACCCCAGGTTCGTTCGGTGAACTCCACGTGGGGTTGCGACCGGGGTCGGTCCCACGGGCGTTTCAGAACCGCGCGCGACGTTCCACACGGACGGGGGAGCGGTTCTTTCCCTTGTTGTTTGTCTGATGTTCGCGCCCTGCGCCCCTTATTCTGAGCCAGTGGGATGACGCTTGGGCAAGGAGGAGGAATGTTCTCTCCTTCCTTCCCCTGGGATACCTGCTGGTGAGCGAAACAGACCCGCCCCTTGTCTGGAGGAGCTGCAGGCCGGCGGGAGCAGGCCGGTGGCCGCGGTGTCCTCCAGGGATGAGGCTGGGGACGGGACGCTGCACTGCGGCGTGAGACCGGGCAGCCGCTGGTCCTGGGTGGAGTCGGGAGAGCAGGGCTTGAGTCCGGTGACGTCGCCCGAGGCAGGGGGAGCTGCGGTTTCAGAGGGCGTGGGCGGGGAAGGGGGCTGGGGTCAGGCCCCACGGGGAGCGGCCAGGAGGCCTCTCTGCAAACCGTCTTACTCGGAGGCTGTGTGTCAGACGGCTCACGTCCTCCCTCGTGGAGCCGACACGCACGTCTCTCGCTCCTCTCGGCCGCTCTCGTGCACCTGGGCTCTCGTGACGGCGATGGGAGCAGAGCCCGCCTGCACGGTTGCCCGCCGAAAGACACGCTTCCGTTGCCCGGGAGGCCCGTGATCCCGTCTGTGGGGGCGGCCGGGGTCGGTGTGCACGGCTCCCCGGGTCCGGGCCTCGGGGCGCGGGGCCCCCTGTGGCGGGGCCGCTGGGACCTTTCCTGCTGCTCGGACTCCGGCACTCGTGCCCCAGGCCTGGGGCAGCCCCGGTGCTTTGCGCGCGGCCAGATCCCGTCCTCTTGGCCACGGGGGTCCCGGCTCCGTGGCACTGGCGTCTTCACAACGAGGACCTCTTCACGGGTCCTGTGGGTCCTGAGCGGCAGAGGTGTGCTCGATCCCTGAGTCGGCCTCCTTGCTGTGTCCTGCGGAGGAGGGGCCTCCTCCCGCCCTCCGCTGACGACAGGCTACGCCTGGGCCCCCGCGCTCCGTCCCTGGACCCGGTGCCCTGGCCGCCCGGTTCTGAGCACGAAGGGTGGGGGTCCTGGGGCACGGGCCCGGGACAGCGTTCTTTGCGCCTCCATCCACGGGGACGTGGCTCTGACCCTTTATCGCTACCTTTAGGGCCTGTGACGGCCTGGAACCCTCCTGGGCCAGGATGCTAACCCACTGCCCAGGGCTGCGCCAGCCCGTTGGCACAGTCTCCGCCCCGGTTGGTCAGGGCCCGGGGATGGTGAGAAAGGATCTTCTGGCCAAATCTGCGTGTTGCCGTGGGAGCGGGAAGGCATCTCCTCCGGGGGCCGTGCGCCACCAGCCATTCCACGCGGTCCGTGGGGTTGGGTCTGATAGGGAGAGCATCCCAGGTGGAAACGGAGTGGCGGCTCCTGGGGCGTTGAACTGTTTTCACGAGTGGCTCTCGTTTCGATCTAGAAGCCTCAGAGGCATTTCCGACGGGGACCGCCCAACCTGCAGATTAGAGCCCCCGACAAAGACTCCAAGGACCGGAGGCAGGATGACACGAGGCGGAGGGACGAGGTGGTGGGCGACGCTCGTCAGGAAGAGAGCACACAGAGAACGGTGGTCAGGTACAGGGAGCGTCAGAGACGAGGCAGCACGGGTCGCTAGATGCGCAGAGGCCGGTCCGTTTGACGTTTCCTGAAAAACAAAGGGATAGGATCGGCGCGCTGTCTGAAGCGGCTTCTCCTCGCAGAGCAGACAGTGGAGAGAGCGGGACCCCGGTGGGGGCGGGGCCCTGCCTTCTCCGCGTCGTGCCGCACGGAGCGGAGGGCCGCCACGAGCCCAGCCAGGCTGTGCCCGCGGGCGTTTGCATCCCTGCCCTCGAGCCGGCTGACTCCTCTTCCTCCTCTCCCTGAAGCTGGAGGGGTGCAGTGATCGAGCCGGAGCAGGGCACCGAACCCCCTTCGAGAAAGGCAGGGGGCCCCCCCACCAAGCCTTCCTCACAGGCCCCCGGGATTCAGAACCAACCAGGTAAGGCCCCGCCGGCGCCCCGTCGGGCCTCACCCGGACATGGTGACGGAGAGGGCGCGTGGACACCCAGCTGGGCACCCGGGCGGGCCCCAGCTCTCTGTAGAGCCTCGGGGAGGACACGGGGCTCCACGGCGGCCCGCGGTCCCAGGCCCGTCGCGGCAGCCACAGGCCGCCTGTGCGGGAACTGCCCGCGTCCGTGCCAGCGCGGGGCCTGGGGAGAGCGAAGACACGGCCCTGGCTCGGTGGGGTCCTGGGGTCCTGCGTTCTGGCACCTGTAGTGGAGGGCCCCCGGGGCACTGGCGCTTTGTACGCTCCGTGCGGCCTGTCTGCTCTGGTTCTCGTGGCGGCCTTTGAGGTCATCGGTCTGTCGTAGGCCCGTTCCACGGACGGGAGAACCGAGGTTAGGCCGGCAGCGGCCACGGCCATTTGCCTCCCGGAGCGGGGGCTCGCGCCGGGTCAGCCGAGCCTGGGGCCCGGGCTGGGACCCTCCGGTCCTGTCGCTGTTGCCACTGAGGAGGGGAGGAGGAAGAAGGCGCCCAGAGCCCGGACGGGCGGCCCGGGCGTGTGGGGGGAGGCAGAGCGATCGCGGGGCTCTGAGGACCGATGTCAGAGCCGCAGATACCAACACGACTGGGCCTCGGGCCACACCGAGAGGACACGTGTCGCGAAGCCGCCGACGCCCACGTTTCTGTCCGCCCGGTGGCCCTGTAACTCGTGCCTGGTCCTCCGGCTGTGTGGAGGGGAGAAACCTTCTCGGTCGGCGTCAAGGCCACCCTGGAAGGGCCCCAGGGCGGCCTTGGGTGTGTCTGCCACACGCTGTTCCCTCCCCGAAAACACCCAGAGCTGCTGACGCGCGACGCGGGCACCTGTGAGATGAGGCGCTCTCGTGGAGGTCACCGGGGCCCGCCCGCCCGCCCGCCCGCCCGCCCGCCCGCCACGTCGGATGCTCCCCCGGCCGGATTGCACAGCGCGGCTGCCGTGGCGGAGCGGCAGGCACCGGTCTGCTGCCTCAAACACCGCCGCCCACCGCGCGTTCCCCGCAGCTCCAGAGAGTCGTGCCCGCCGGGCGTCTGGCGGAGGCGGACGGGCGCAGGCCAGGCGGATGAGAGGCCGAGCCGTCGCGTGTGGGCCCTGGAGGCCTCGCCACCTTGGCAGCCGCGTCCAGCCGTGCGGCCCCGAGCCCGGCGGCGCCGCGCCCCGATCTTTGGGGTCGTCCGCTGCTGACCCGCGGCCCCGGACGGTGTCCCCCCACCCCACTGAGCGCCCCCGCGGCTTGGGGCTGCAGAGGGGCGGTGTCTGAACCCCGGGCGGTTCCGGTCCCCACGACCCGCCGTCTTCCTCCCAGCCTCCCCGAACGAGCGTCAGAGGGCCGTGATAGACGCCTTCCGCCACGCGTGGACCGGCTACCGCAAGTTCGCCTGGGGCCACGACGAGCTGAAACCCGTGTCCAGGTCCTTCAGCGAGTGGTTTGGCCTGGGACTTACGCTGATTGACGCCCTGGACACCATGTGGATTTTGGGTCTGAAAAGAGGTACCTGCTCGTCCCCGAGCACGCGGCCAAGTTCCCCCGGTGCAACGCTTGGGCGCGCGAGTGAGCGAGCCGTGCCCTGGAGGGTGTAGACGCCACTGTTTCCGTCTGAGGAGCTCTCCCTTCCCCTGGGCGGCAGGCAGTCGCCTTGTCCCTTGATGGCAGGCGTCCCGGGGACGCTCAGGGCAGTCGCCCCCTCGGCTCCCGGCCGAAGGCCTGGGCTGGCGTCCGGGGGCAGTTCCAGCCCGTGCTCCCGTCCTAGCCGGAGAGGGGCTCCCTGGTGGGAGGCGGCACGTGATCCTATGAGGCCATCGGCGTCCCGGGTCTCTCCATCACACCCTTCTCAGGCCACGTGGACGGGGTGTGGTTGAGGCTACGGGTCTTTGGGTACTTCCGAATCGGTCTCTCGGAGCCCATTTCCGGTGTTCCGTAGAGGCCAGAGGCTCCCCCTGAGTTACTCACGTGGCCCTTTGTGCCGTGGCCTTTACCCGTCAGCGTTGGTGCTCACGACGGCTCGCTGGCTGCCCGTCCTCCGGGTGCAGGGGGCCCCGCGGTGTGTCCCCTTGCCGTGGGAAGTGATGGCGAGGCCCCTCGGGAGAGAGAGACACGAGGACGCACGTGGCCCCAGAGCCAGCGAGCGGTCACGGGGGCGCCGGGACCTGTAACCTACTGCCGCTCCCACCCCGTCTCCCGTCGCAGAGTTTGAAGAAGCCCGCAAGTGGGTGTCTAAGAAGCTCCGGTTTCAGAAAGACGTGGACGTCAACCTGTTCGAGAGCACGATCCGGATCCTGGGCGGCCTTCTGAGCGCCTACCACCTGTCCGGGGACGACCTCTTCCTGAGGAAGGCCGTGAGTGTCCGGGCGCCGGTGGAGGTTCCGCGGCTCGAGGGGCCCCCGGGGGGTGGGCGCGGGGGTCTGTTCCGGGTCTCCCGTCTCCCCGGTCGTCTGGGTCTCGCTCCCGCGCACGTGCGTGGGAAGGTCCCTGTCACCGTCGCGACCCGTGGGGAAGCGCTCTCGGGGCTCCTCGGTCTCACCGCTGTTGAGCGCCGAGGCCACGTGAAGCCAGTGAGGTCCCGTGTCCGCTTACGGGGGTGAGCGCGGGTGGCGGGGTGGCGGGGGTGGGGCGGGAGGGTGGGCGTCGTGGAACGGAGCCGAGGCTGGCGTGTGACGGGAAACCTCGGTCCTCGTCGTGTCGCGTCATCAGGAAGACTTTGGGAATCGGCTGCTGCCTGCGTTCCAGACGCCCTCCAGGATCCCATACTCGGACGTGAACATCGGCACCGGAGCCGCCCACCCGCCCCGCTGGACCTCGGACAGCACGGTGGCCGAGGTCACGAGCATTCAGCTGGAGTTCCGAGAGCTCTCCCGCCTCACGGGGAGTAAGAAGTTTCAGGTACGGGGGGCCGGCCTGCCGGCCGGAGGCGTCACACCAAGCGGAGGCGTGCGTGGACTTGACCCCGGGCCGCGGGACCACCGTCCTGTGTGCTTTCCGGTCCCTCGTTCCTCGCCTTTCCTCAGCTGCGCGGGCGGGAAGGGTGTCGACTGGGGGCTGAGTCCGAGCGCGGGCCCGTGTCCTTGGGGTCCCAGCTGCCCCCTGCCTCGTGCTTTGGTGGCCCCCGGGGGTGGTCCGTGCCGGGAGCGAGGCAGGGGCCCACGGTCGTGGGTTTCGGCCTCGCTAGCCCGTCGCTGACGGTCCTTGTGGACCTCGCTCCTGACCCTCGCCCCGACCCCGTTGGCCGGGGTCCCTCTCCTTGTGGGTGAGTCTCCAGGACGCGGCGGACCCTCTGGCTTGGCGCTCTGCCTCGTCACTCTTCCTCTGCCTCAAAAACCTGAGCTGCGATTTGAACGTCAGCAAGTTTTGCCTCTTGGCTCGAACGCCGCGCCACAGTCCCACGTGGGCAGCGGCCGCCACCGTCTGATTCCAGAACCAGGTCCTCGCCTCAGGAAGTAGGCCAGCGCACCCTAGCGCTCCCACCCGGGCCCCCTGCCTCGGTGGCCGCAAATCCACTTGTCGTGCGTGGCTTTCTCTGTTTGGAATGCTCGGCGTGAGTGAGGTCCTACGTACGGCGTGGGCCGTCTGTGGCCGGTTCTGTCGCCACGCGTGACGTCTTCGTCCGCGCTGGAAGCGTCCGGGAGAAGCGCACCCGTGTCGTAGCACGTGTCCGAAGCATCCCTTTTCGTGGCCCGGTGGTCTGCCATCGTGCGGTCGGACCACGTGCTGTCCGGGCTCTCGTGCGTTGAGGAGCAGCTGGGGGTGGTAAGAGCGGCGCTCCCGGGAGAAGGTTCCAGGCGCACGCACACAGGGCTCTGGCTTTTCCGCGGCAGCCCGCGCTTGTCCTCCGGTCTTTCTCGGTAGCCTTCGCGGTGGGCACGTGAGGGTGCCTCCTCTGGGCTGTGGATTTTGTCCTGATGACGTGTGGCGTTTTCCAAACGCCCGCAGGCCCCGTGTTCATCTCCCGGGTGGAGGTGGGCGTCCGGGTGCCTGTCTGCCTGTCGGCGGATTAGCGGCTTTCCTGTCGTTGGCTCGTACTCCGGAAGCTCAGCGTCTCTCTGTTTGCTCTGAGACGCCGGCCGGGCGCCGTTGCGATGCCGGATCTCTGTAGCTGCCGGAGACCCAAGGGAAATTGAAGCCGCTCCTGCCTCAGAGGACTTTGTAAAAAGGGGCGGGCCGTACGTGGCGGGTGGAGGCCAGGAAGTCACTCCCCAGGCAGGGTCCCGAGCGCCGTGAGCAAACGCGCACAGGGCCATGGAGCACAGATGCGTGGCGCTGCCCGGGAGGAGCTGAGGTTGGTTGGGTCTCGAAGGATGAACAGGATCGGCGGGCGGGTGTGCCGCGACCGCGGGCTCGGAAGCAGACGCGCCTGCCTTCCCTCCAGCGAGCGGGAGCAGACGGCCACGCCTGGGCAGGAGGTCCCGGGGACCGCGGCTGTGGCCTTCAGACACGGTCCCCTGCCAGGAGGAGGAGCTCAGCCCCGTGTTCGGGGCCCTCGGCATCTGCCCGCTCATCGAGGCAGCCGCGTGTGAGGGTGGGGACCTGGTTGCCGCGTGGCTGGGGCCACCCTCAGAAGCCCTTGCCTGGTGCAGCCGGGCAGGGGAGCGCCGTGGGCCGGGACACCGGCCTCTTCCGTCCTCTTCCGTCCTCCGCTGGGAACGGGCCCGCCTGTCACGGAGGAGGGGTGAGCCGACGAGGCCCGCCTTCCTCGGCTGGCCCGAGGTCCGGCAGCCCCGTCCCCCTGGCTCACCCGCGCTCTCCCCTTGTGTGTGTGTGTGTGTGTGTGTCCCAGGAGGCCGCGGAGGAGGTGACGAGGCGTGTGCACTCCCTGTCGGGGAAGAAGGACGGGCTGGTGCCCATGTTCATCAACACGCACAGCGGCCTCTTCACTCACATGGGAGTGTTCACTCTGGGCGCCAGGGCCGACAGCTACTACGAGTACCTGTTGAAGCAGTGGATCCAGGGCGGAAAGAAGGAGACGCAGTGAGGCCTGTTTCTGCTGCCTCGGGGACGGGGTCCCCGAGGCTCCCCTTGTCCCGAGTTCTCGGTCAGGAGGCAGCGGCCGTGCCGGACCCGGACTCGGCCCCTCCGCGGGGGATGTGTCTCTTCCCGGCACGGCCTTCGTGCCAGAGAGGACGCCTGGCTGGTCACGGAGGTCCCCGGCCCCTCTGCGCCAGGCAGGGCCTGGGGTCTGGGCCCGGCCGAGGGGCCCCCGGCTCACCGGCCGAGCTCTGGTCCTCGGGGTTGTGGAGGCGGCTCTGCTTGTCCGCTCCCCAGCAGAAGGTGGCCAGGGGCCCCTGGGCCTCCCCGCGCTGCCTGGTTGACGCTCCAGACGTGCGCTTTCCCAGACGGCAGTGCCTCGGGGAGCCTCGTCGTGCGGTCGGGAAAACACAGGTCACTCTAGTGAAGGGACTGGAAATCCTTGAAGTCTCACGCCAGGGGGTGACCACGGCCCAGGACCGCTGGGGGTGGGCAGCTCCAGGAGGCCGACCCCTACGGGCAGAGATCAGGGCATCACGCCTGGGAGCCGGAGTTCCCCACGCCTGAACGTGGGGACGTTGAGAGAACCCTGGTGGGCACGTGGGGTCCCGGGTGGTCCACGGGGGCCGGCTGAGAGGAACGACCCCGTTCGGGGGAGCGGCGGGCACAGCCCCGTGCGTGCCCCAGGCCGCCGACTGCCACGAGCCTGCATCTCCAGGCTGGCGTGGTGCCACCCAGACAGGGCCAGGCCTCTTGGCCACTAGCGTGGGGATGGCAGCTCGTGGCCACGTGCCCGCTCCTGGGTAACCGGGCGGGGGGTCGGGCCGCGCACCCACCTGGCCTGAGCCCACGGGGCCTGCCGGTTCACAGGTTACTGGAAGACTACCTCGAAGCCGTCGAGGGAATCAAAAGGCACCTGCTGCGCAGGTCTGAGCCCAGGAAGCTCACCTTTGTGGGGGAGCTGGCCCACGGCCGCTTCAGCGCCAAGATGGTGAGCACGGTCGTGATGCAGGTGGGGCGTAGGGGGCCGCACGCACCCGTTTTTCTGGGCCCCCGATGGCTTCGCGAGTCTGGACCTTGGAGAGATGGCTCAGATTCTGGTCGCGGGGCGTGAGCCCTCACAGGTCGACGATGGACTGTGCGGCGGTGTGCGGCAAGGGGGGCTGGGGTCTGTGATGGGTCCCCGGCCCCTCCCCCCTCCCCGCCCCCTGCCCCCTCTTCCCCCTCCCCTCTCCCCTCCCCCTCCCCTCTCTCCTCCCTGCCCTCTGCCCTCTGCCCTCTGCCCTGGGTCTAGTTACTTGTCCCCTGCCCCTGGTACTCCATCAGTGTTTGTGGGGTCAGGGCCAGACCCGGGTCAGCATCCGCTCCCCTGGCAGGTGGGTGTCCGTCCGCCACCCTCCCCCCTGCCCGTGTGGAGCTCCAGGGGCCGGGCCCGTAGTGGAGTCGCTTTCCACGTTCCTGCCCTTGTGGGCCCTGAGGAGTCCCCGCTCAGGCCCGTCGACCCCTGGGGATGCGGGGGGCCTGAGGGAGCGCTGGACCCTGCACCCGGTGTGGCCCCCGCCCCCGCCCCCACCCCACGTGGCCACCGACTCACAGTGGTGAGGAAACCGCTCTGGTTTCAGGACCACCTGGTGTGCTTCCTGCCAGGGACGCTGGCTCTGGGCGCCCACCACGGCCTGCCCGCCGACCACATGGAGCTGGCCCGGGCGCTCATGGACACCTGCTACCAGATGAACCGCCAGATGGAGACGGGGCTGAGCCCCGAAATCGTGCACTTCAACCTGTACCCCCAGAGCGACCGCAAGGACGTGCAGGTCAAGGTGAGCCGGGCCGGGGTCTGGGCGTGGGGGCGCCCTGCGGGCTCGGCCTAGCTCCTCCCATGTCCCCCCACGCCCCACCCCCCACCCCAGGTGGCCGAGCTCAGCCTGTGTTGTGTCCCCCATCCCTCCCTCCCCCGCTCCCCCGCCCCCCCGCCCAGCCGGCCGACAGGCACAACTTGCTGCGGCCCGAGACGGTGGAGAGTCTGTTCTACCTGCACCGCCTCACGGGAGAGCGCAAGTACCAGGACTGGGGCTGGGAGATCCTGCAGAGCTTCAACAAGTACACGCGGGTGAGCGCCTGCCCCGCCCAGCCCGCCCCGCCCCGCCCCGCCCCGAGTCCCTGCTCCCCTAGCCGGGCAGCCAGAGGGGGGCGAGGGTGGGGGCGGTGCAGCTCGCGGTGGCCTCGGGAGTTCGGCGCCACGTGCCCCAGGGTCTCGGGGACCAGGCTCTGTGGCCCGGTGTGCACAGGGCGACTCTCCTCCCGGATCCTCCGTGTGGCCCCGGGCAGCCCTTTCCCACCCCAGACGGCGCCGTGACCGTGGCCCCGACACCCGTCTCGCCCTCTGGGCCGTGGCTCGGAGGTCACGCCGTGTCCGGGGCCCGCCACCCACCCCGGTAGAGCGCGAGCGCCAAAACCCGACCCGCGTACGCCCTGTGGCGGCCGGGCGGTGGGTCCCGGCCTCCTCAGGTGCTGGGGGCCTTCGGGAGGCCGCCTCCGGGTTCCGGAGCACGCGCTGCACGTCGGGTCGCATGAGGGCGGCTGGCGTCTCTGAGGGCCCGTCTGGAGGAGCTGCGGCTGAGCTCCCGGGGGGCCGGTCCCCCGGCGGACCTTGGGGTCGTCTGCCTCAGACCCTGCCCTTGGCCACGGGTGCCGCGGTGAGGCGCAGGGGCCCCGGCCGGGGGCCCTGCGGCCGCCGGCGCCCCCGAGGGCTGCGCCCGGCGTGGGGAGCTGGCTGGGCCTGCAGCCGTGGTGACGCCGCGGTCTCCGCTCTCGCGCAGGTCCCCTCGGGTGGTTATTCCTCCATCGGCAACGTCCAGGATCCCCTCAATCCCCAGCCCCGGGACAAGATGGAGAGCTTCTTTCTGGGGGAGACGCTCAAGTACCTGTACCTGCTCTTCTCCGACGACCCGGCCCTGCTCAGCCTGGACGCCTACGTGTTCAACACTGAGGCTCACCCCTTGCCCATCTGGGCCCCGCCTAGGGTGGGGTGACCCCCCCGTGGGCACTGCCCGGGGGCCTCACACGTCTTGCGTCTGTGGGTACCTGGCCTCGGAACCCTGGCCTCGGGTAGGTTCGCTCTCTTGACCTTGGCCGCGGCGTGTCCCCTCGGCCGACTGTCCGTGCTCCAGGGTCAGGCTGATGACATTCCCCAGGGGGTTACCGAGCCTGACGTCTCAGGGCCTCAGAGGTGGTCAGGGCAGCTGGGCGCCCGGCGCTTTGCCGCTGGCTTTGCACTTCTGGCTTGTGGTTCTCGTGACGTCGGATGGTGTCGTGAGGTCAGCGCCGTGAATCCCCGAGGCCCCACCTGCTGGGGACCTTCCTGCTTGAATCATGACTTACATTCCTGATGCCCAAACGTCTTCTGTGTGGCCCCAGTGTCTCTGCTTGTCCCCTGGGGCCGCTCTGGGTCTCCCGGACCCACACGTGTCCTGAGATGAGCTGAAGGGACAGCCCGACATGCGGTTCAGCCCGGGGTCTCCAGAGTCTGTGAATGTGCCCTGACCCGGGAGTCCTGGGGGGGCACTTGTGACCTCCTGCGAATCCGGGCACCTGGCCGGCTGTGGTGTTTACATGTTGGACTCAGGGATCCTCCCCCGGCCCTGCAGGGGCGGGGAGGGGCGGGTGGACAAGTTCATCCTGCTCCTGGACCACCCGACAGAACGGACTTTCCAGGCAGCATAAACGTGGATTGTTTCCTATGTTGGTAAACGGGTCCTTTACTGTGAAACATCTTTGCGTAGTTTGAGAGAAAGCCATTGTCGCTTTGGGGCGCTTGTGACTGCAGTGCACAGGGGTGTCAGGTTTCCAGCCCAATAATCCTGCCATCCTCCATACATAAGTTAGCACATACGCACCTTACCTGTGGTTGGACGAGATAACGCATCAGGGGGTGGGAGCGGAAGGTGTGCTTTGCGGCCTGTCCCAAACACAGACCCACAGCAAAGAGAGCCAGCGAGCGCCATGCCCAAGTTCTTTCATCAGCTTCTGTGTATTTCGTGAAAGACAGAAGTTCACAAAATGCAAAATCGGATACCTTGGAAAGGTCAGCGTAGAGAAAAGATTTCTGTGGCGAGGCAGAGCGGCAACATCCACCTCCCGTTCTCCCCAGAAACAAAACAGCAGTAGAACCGTCGCGGTCAGTGTTGACAACAGCCAATGAACCATGAGGAAAAAAGGAAGTGTGGCTCCATGAAGGGAACAAAATTAGTTGCTAAAAACTGTCGCTAAAGACAGTCCAGCCTTGAGAATTGTTAGAAAAGGGCTAATAAAACTAAATTAAACGTTCTCGACTTGAACACACACATGGAAGTAGGGGAAGTTGGGGAAATACTACGAGCACACGGAGATTACCAGAGAAATTACCAGAGGGAATAATTATTAAAAATCCTCTTCCACTGAAATGTGCAGCAATGAGAGATTCATCAGAGTTCAGTAGCCACAGCAGCGAGGAGACCACAGAATGTGAGCCGTGGACAGAGCCCGAGGGACAGGTCCCACCCTCCGCAGGCCCCACAAGTCTGTTAGAGTTGGGGTCTCAGGCAAAAGGGGATTTGAAACAGTGCTGAACGCTTACCAAATGTGACGTTCTAAGATGTAAATTACAAATTCAAGAAGGTCAGACACTTCCTAGTAGAATCAACACAAGACGACCTGGGATAAGTGGTGGGAGAGTCTTGACCGCCGTGAGTGGTGACCTGTGACGTGTAGACCCACGGCAAGGCCAGCCTCCCAGTGAGGGAGAAAAAAGGCCAGAAGATGGGAATGGAATGATGCTTTGATGAGAAAAGTTGTCACCCCGGAGTTCCATGTACAGCAAAACTGACTCAGAAATGGAGAATTCTAGGTATTAACGGGGGAAAGCCGGATAGCTTGTCGCCAGGTGGCCTGACGTGCATGAAATGCTCCAAGGACTCTGGGCGGAACTGCTGCCGGATGGGAACTCGGGGCTCTGTTAAGACGCGGCTGTGATGCGTCAAATCAGTTACGTGTTTGGCTGCCACTCCTGTTTTTATTCTCCAGGATTTAAAAGCTGTTCATGGGAGATCATTACAAGTTTATGTTTTGGGGCCCACAGTGTGCAGCGTGAGTTTTGAGAGTAGCTACAGAAGCAGACTGGTCTGAGCCGTCTCAGAGATAGGTCGTGTATGTTAGTGAACACAGTTGCTGTATGTGTGGACCAGAGTGTTAGAAATTCGGGATGTCACCCATGATAGCCACGATGAAATTATCAAAAAGATACACGTGGGTGGAAAGGAGAAGAGAGTGAGAACGGTTCACTAAAGTTTTTAAAAAAAAAAAGTCCTTGGAAGAAATGAGGCACGAAAAAGGATTAACATATAGAAAACACTCGCAAAGTGGTAGAAAGAAGTCTTACTGGTAATTACGTAAAATAAAATGGATGAAACCCTTCGATCAAAACCCGAGCTTGGCAGAATGGACTAAAACACAGTGACCCAAGTACGTACTGTCTAGCAGACACCATGCTTCCAAAGATACAAATAGACTGAAGGCAAAAGCATGGGGGGAGACACTCCATGGAAACAGTGACCCAAAGAGAGCTGGGATGGCTGTGAACGCTTTAACTCAAACACGGGGGTGCCTGGTGGCTCAGTGGGTCGAGCACCCAACCCTTGATTTCATCTCAGGTCATGATCCCAGGGTCGTGGGGTGGAGCCCTGCATCGGGCCCCACGCCGAGCATAGTGCCTGCTGGGGTTCTCTTTCTACCTCTCTGCCCTCTCCGTTGCTTGCACACGGTGTCTTTCAAATAAAAATTAAAAAAAAAAAAACTTTTAAGAGGTCAACGTAGATGCAGCTTGCTTTGTTTGTATTCAGTGAAAACAAGATTTTTCCACGGGGAAGAAAAGACAGGGTTATAAAGAAGGTAGAACAGTTACAAATGCATCGAACGGCAGAGTCAAATGAAATAGCCGGGTCTCCAGTGGCAGTTGGAGACTTCGTTAGTCGCCTTCAAGATGCACAGACCCGCTAGGGGAAGACCAGCGAGGAAACCGAGGACACGAACAGGGCTACAAACTAGGCAGACCCAACAGACGAGAGCGCCCCTGACAACAGAGTGTCCCTGCTCCTCCAGGGCACATGGAGCATTCTCCATTGTCTGCGTTAGGCCACAAAACAAGTATTAATGCATTTTATTTAAGTTTTTTTTTTTTTTTTTTTTTTTTTTTTTTTTTTTTTGAGAGCAAGCACAAGCTGGGGAGAGGGGCAGAAGGAGAAGGAAAGAATCTTTAGCAGGGTGCATGCTCAGTGTAGAGCCTGACACTGGGCTCAATCCCACAACCGTGAGATCATGTCCTGAGCTCAAATAGACACTCAACTGACTGAGCCCCCCAGGTGCCCCTAAAGATTTTACTTTTATGTAAACTTTATACCCAACATGGGGCTCGAACCCACAACCCCAGGATCCAGACTTGCACATTCCATCGACTGAGTCAGTCGAGCACCCCAGTGTATGTTAAATAACTGAAAGAGGGGGGGCCTGGCTGGCTCAGTCGGTTGAGCATCCGACCTCAGCTCAGATCAATTTTAGTATATGTGCTGCCGAAGCGAGCACTGACCTCAGCCCAGATCAAGATCTCACTGCTCGTGGGTTCGATCCCCTCATCGGGCTCTGTGCTGATAGCTCAGAGCCTGGAGCCTGCTTCCGACTCTGTGTCTCCCTCTCTCTCTGCCCCTCCCCTGTTCATGCTCTGTCTCCCAAATATAAATAAACACAATCAATGGGTCAGTGGAGAAGTCAGAAAGGAAGTTAAACACTTTTGAGACCTATGAAATTCAAAGCACAAAGTACACAATTTATGGGATGCAGGGAAGGTTGTGCTCAGATCAAAATCCATAGCTTTGAATGCCTACATTAAAAAAAAAATTAAAAATATACGAGGCGCCCGGCTGGCTTAGTCGGTAGAACACACAGCTCCTTATCGGGGCCGTGAGTTCGAGCCCTGTGTTGGGTGTAGAGCCTACTTTATTTATTTATTTTTTTTCAACGTTTATTTATTTTTGGGACAGAGAGAGACAGAGCATGAACGGGGGAGGGGCAGAGAGAGAGAGAGGGAGACACAGAATCGGAAACAGGCTCCAGGCTCCGAGCCGTCAGCCCAGAGCCCGACGCGGGGCTCGAACTCACGAACCGCGAGATCGTGACCTGGCTGAAGTCGGACGCTTAACCGACTGCGCCACCCAGGCGCCCCAACTACTTTAAAAATAATAATATAGAGGCGCCTGGGGGGCTCAGTCGGTTGGGCACCTGATTTCGGCTCAGGTCATGGTCTTGCGGTTTGTGGGTTCAAGCCCCGCGTCGGGCTCTGTAGTGACAGCTCAGAGCCTGGAGCCTGCTTCAGATTCTGTGTCTCCTCTCCCTGCCCCTTCCCCGCTCACGCTGTTTCTCTCTCTCAAAAAATAAACATTAAAAAATTAAAAAAAAATAAAAATAATATAAAAGGAAGAAAGGTCTCCAGTTAGTACCTAACTGTGCACCTTGAAGAACTAGGAAAGGAAGAGCAGACTAAACCCAAAGCTTGCAGTGTGAAGGAAATGTGTAGAATGGAGATAAGTAAAATAGAGAATAGAAAAACACCAGAGACGGTCCACAAAACCAAAAGTTGGTTCTTTGAAAGCATCAACAAAATTGAATCTCCGAGCTACACTAACAAGGTGAATGTCCAATAGCTAGAACCAGAAACAGAAGTGGGGGCGTCACCAGTGGTCTTACAGAAAAATTTCACACCATGAAATCTGACGGTCTTTTTAAGATGGCAAGTTCCCAGACATGCAAGAATGATCTAAACTCAAGATCTATAAGTTTTCGATAGACCTAGGACAAATAGATGGATCCAATAGTAAAAAAAGAGACAACAACAAAACCCTCCCAACAAAGAGAAGCCTGGGGTCATGTGGCTTCTGGGGAATTCAGCCAAACATTTTCAAAGTTGGGGCACTTTGCTGGCTCAATCTGTGGAGCGTGCAACTCTTGATCTTGGGGTTGAGTTTGAGCCCCACACTGAGTGTAGAGATCACTTAAAAATAAATCTTAACACACACACACACACACATTTTAAGAGTTAACCCCAGTCCTTCTCAAACTCTCAGAAAATTGAGAGGAGGGAAAACTTCCTAAATCATTCTGTAAACCCAAAATTACCTTGATATCAAAACCAGATACAGACATTTCAGTAAAAGACTACAGGCCAATATTCCTTGTGAGTATTAATGCAAAAATCCTTAGCAAGATACTGACAAATCTGGCAGTACGTTTGAAGATTCTACACCATGATCAAGGTGTTTCAATGTAAGCAGATCAGTCATCCACACAACACAATACACAGGAATGAGCTGTGGATACAAGCAACAACTTGCATGGACCTCAAGGACCTCGTGCTGAATGAAAGAAGGCACACACCAGGAGGAAAAAGAAACAGTAACACACTCCATTCATAGAGCACAGTGGAGAAAGTACACGATAACTGCAATTGACATAGAGCACGTGACAAAAGCCAACACTCCTTCATGGTAGAAACACTCATGAAACCGTAGGTAGGAGGGAACTTCCTCAACACAATAAAGGGTGATCATGGAAAAACGCACAGCCAACATCCCACTCAACAGTGAAAGACGAAGCTTTTCCTCTAAGACCGGATATAAGACAGGACGACCTGCTTCCACCGCCACTAGAAATAAAAGGCATTCAGACTGGAATTGAAGAAGTAAAACTCTGTTTGCACATGATATGATCCTGTGTATAGGAAATCCCAAAGAATTCACAAGAACATGACTAGAGCTTATAAATTCAGGAAAGTTGCAAGACTAGATCAGCAATCAAAACGTTATGTTCCTGTGCACCTGCAGTGAACAATCTGAAAAGGGAATTAAGAAAGCACTTCCATTGAAAATAACATTAGGGCTGGGACGCTTGGCTGCCTCAGTCTGTGGAGCATTTGGCTCTTGATCTTGGGGTTGTGAGTTCCAGCCCCACGTTGGGCACAGAGCTTACTTTAAAATAAAAACACCATCTATGGGGCGCCTGGGTGGCGCAGTCGGTTAAGCGTCCGGCTTCAGCCAGGTCACGATCTCGCAGTCCGTGAGTTCGAGCCCCGCGTCAGGCTCTGGGCTGATGGCTCGGAGCCTGGAGCCTGTTTCCGATTCTGTGTCTCCCTCTCTCTCTGCCCCTCCCCCATTCATGCTCTGTCTCTCTCTGTCCCAAAAATAAATAAACATTGAAAAAAAATTTTTTTTAAATAAAAACACCATCTAAAAGAAAAAAATAGGGATAAATTTAAGGATGTAATGTACACCAAAAAGTATAAAACATTGCTAAAATAAAGAAGATCTACATAAGTGGAAACATCCTTTGTTCATGCATAGGAATACTTTATTTATTTTTTGTTTTTTCAGTGTTCATTTTAGAGAGAGAGAGAGAGACAGAGCATGTGCGGGGGAGGGGCATAGAGAGAGGGAGACACAGAATCCGAAGCAGGCTCTGGGCCCTGAGCTGTCAGCAGAGCCCAACGCGGGGCTCGAACTCACAAACCGTGAGATCATGACCTAAGCCGAAGTCGGACGCTTAACCAACTGAGCCCCCCAGGCGCCCCGGGAATACTTAATTTTAAGACGTCAATGCTAGACAAAAATGATCTACAGGTTCAGTGCCATCCGTCTTAGAATTCCAACAGCCTTTTTTGCCAAAATGGAAAATGAATTCTCAGATTACTGTGGAATTGCAAGGAGCCGCAAATAGCCAAGATATTCTTGAAAAAGAACAAAGTTGGACGACACGGACTGCCCGATTTAAAAACTTACGACGAAGGCATGGTACTCCGAGCAGTGTGGTGCTGGTGTAGTGACAGACACGTGGTTGTCACTGAAGGGAGAGCCCAGAAATGAACACATACACGGATGGCCGACTGATGTTCTGCGAGGGTATGTAGGTTTACTCAGTGGGGAAGAGAACCTTGTCCTCAACTAATGGTGATGGGAAAACCAGATTTCCACATGCAAAGAATGGAGCTGGACCTCACTTCCCACCACATACAAAACATCAGCTGAAAATCGATCAGCGACCCAAAGAGCGAAACCATCCGGCGCCTAGAAACGGCAGCAACAGCAATACGGAGACCGGTCTGCACCCAGCGGGCCTCACAGGGCTTCTGACGCCACAATCCAGAAGCACAAGCACCAGCCCAGTAGGACTTCGTCAAAAGCTGTGCGTCACAGGATGCGGAGTGCACAGAACCGAAGCCCACAGAACGGGAGAAAGTATTTGCAAACAACGTATCTGATACGGAATTTATATCTCGAATACGTTTTTTTTAATGTCCAGAACAATAAAAAAGTAACGCTCAACAACAGATAAAAGCACCTTTCTGACACGAAAGGGGGCTCGGCATGTAGCGTGTGTAACTGAGCGTGCACACAGATGTGGCCCCGACCTCACGTGCAGCTCGCTCAGACCCAGATCACGGGCACCTGTGCGGGGTTCCCTGTCCACACCCGCTGCTCTGTTGCTTGCAGCTTCGAGGGCTGAGGGGCAGAGCAGGTGGGGGGGAGACAGGGCCTGTCTCCCCAGATCTACGGGCTGTGGAGGCGGGAATCAAGACCCGGCTTTGGCCCCAAAGCCACCGTCCCCCCTCCCCAGGGAGTCGGAAGAAGGGCTTCTGGACCCCCAGACGTACCCGCAAGCTCAGGGCCACCGGGTGTGGCAGGACAGTCAGAATCGGAATCACCTTCTGGGCCTTCCCAGTGCTGCCGGGAGGGTTTGGAGGGAAGGATATGCCGGGTCCGCAGCCGGGGTAGGAGGGTCAGGCAGCCGAGCTGAGAGGAGAGGACGAGAGGAGGGCCTGCCTGGGGAGAGGCTGCCATCCAGGGGGAAGGAGCCGGGAGCCCTTCCGTGCTGTCCTGACTTCTACCCTGCAGAGGCCATGGAGACCCTGCGAGGGCAGCTCTCTCCTCAACGCAGGACAGGCAGCCCTGGGTGCGGGTCCCGGGACACAGGAACAGGGACACGGGGAGACGGGGACATGGGAGCTTGGGGGCATAGACACAGGATGGGGACAGGGGGACACAGGGACGGGGACAGGGGCACAATGATGGGCGAGTAGGGACACGACACGGGGACGTGGGGACACAGGGACGGGGACATGGGGTCCCAGGGACCCAGGGGCGGGGACAGGGAAACAACGGTGGGCAAATAGGGCTAGGGACACGGGGACATGAGGGACACAGGGAAAGAGGGACAGAGACACAGGGATGGGGACACAGGGGTATAGGGACAGAGGGACACGGGGATGTGGGAACACAGGACCACAAGGAGCGGGGCACAGGACAAGGACAGGACATGGGGATGGGGGCACGGGGACAGGGACACAGGGATGTGGGGATGGGGACAGGGACTGTGCAGTGATTGTGGTGTGGCATTCGGTGACCATGGGGTGACCACACCCCTGGGGTGGTATGACATGATCAACAGTCACTGTCACCATGCTGGTTGCCACAGTGACAGTCCTGGGACAGTGTGTGGGGCAGCTAACTGGCTGCTCCCCAATCAGCCTGGCTTGGGGCCCCGGGTTCTCAGGCTGCAGCCAGAGCGCAGGACCCCAGCCTTGGCCTGTGCCAGTGCTAGACAGGGCGGACCTGGGCAGAGACTGGGGTCGTGCTGGCCAGGGACAGTCTTGGCACGGGGACAGGTGACTCACCTTCCCTTTGTGGCCTTGGGCAGGGGGTGGCTCTGCTGATCTGGCCCCTCACGCATGCCCAGGACTGGATGCCAAGGGAGAGGTGGCCCCCCTTGGTGTCTGGGCACTGGGTACCTGCCGCAGCCCCTGGCACTGAGGGGCCAGTAGCCTGAGGGGCTGGGGTCACGGTCCCAGCTCCCAGCAGGGGCCTGGGGCCGCCGCCTCCCGACCTGGGCTCTCAGCAGCTGCGTGTCTGCACTGTCTGAGCCCCCGCCTGGGCTCCGAGGCCCCTGCCGCCGCCACAAGGCCTCGCACTGTCACTTGGACAAGCCCCTTCCTCAGAGCTGCTGGCCTTCTGCGTGAGCCCCCTCCTAGCTGCCGCCACCCCATCTTCCCGAGGCTCCCCCACTTCTCCTCAGGGGTCAGCCCATGTGGCCTTCGCAGCCCTGCCCTCAAGAGCCCGCCCGCCCTCCCCCGCGGGCCTTCACTAGGGGCGCAACGTGGCCCAGGGCATCACCCAGCGGCCCAGAGGCTGGGAGAGGCCTGGGTGTGTCCCGGCTGGGCGGGGGCAGCTGGGACACTGGCAGGTCTCTCCCACCTCCCCGTGACTCAGCAGTGGCCCCTAGAGGACAGGCGGCTGGGTGCACGTCCCCTGCCCCGACACCACGCCCTGGAGCCCTCTCCCGCTTCCCGTGTCTCCAAGGTGACCGTCTCCGTAGCGACACGGTGGGTGGCAGGAACCTGGAGGACCCGGAGAAAGGGCATCACGAGCCCGGCGGGGCGGGGGAGGTCGGGCCCAGAGTCCAGCCCCGCCCGGGCTGTCACGTGAGGGTGGCACGCCGGTCATGTGACCGCAGCCCGCGGCAGAGAGGAGATGGGGACCCGGCTCCAGCCGGCCCTCCCCTGGGCCCTGACCCTGCTGCTGGCGCTGGGGCTGTGCCGCCCGGAGGCTGGGGGTGAGTGCGGGCCCGTGGGCGCCCCCCGCCGCCGTGCCCAGTGTCCCCATGCGCTGAGCACCGCGCCCCTCCAGCCCACAGAGTCCCCCCGTGTGACTTCCAGGAGGGCTACTTTGAGCAGCTTCTGGACCACTTCAACTTCGAGAGGTTCGGCAACAAGACCTTCCTCCAGCGGTTCCTGGTGTCAGGTGAGGTGGCCCTGAGGGTCCCGGGGCCCTGAGGTTCCGCCCTGTGCCTCACCCGCCCCCTCCCGCCTCCGCCCGCCAGAGAGGTTCTGGAAAAGGGGCGAGGGGCCCATATTCTTCTACACGGGCAATGAGGGCGACGTGTGGTCCTTCGCCAACAACTCGGGGTTCATCCTGGAGCTGGCGGCACAGCAGGGGGCCCTGGTCGTCTTCGCGGAGCACGTGGGTACCCGCACTGGTGGCAGGGGAGGGCGGGCGGGGGCGGGCGGGGGCGGGCGGGGCCCGGGCTCAGCCTCTCGTCGGCCGCCTGCAGCGGTACTACGGGAAGTCGCTCCCTTTCGGAGAGCGGTCCACACAGCGCGGGCACACGGAGTTGCTGACCGTGGAACAGGCCCTGGCCGACTTCGCGAGGCTGCTCAGCGCGCTGCGGCGGGACCTCGGGGCCCAGAACACCCCCGCCATCGTGTTCGGTGGCAGGTGGGTTCTCGCCCGTCTCATTTCTCCCTGAGGCACAAACAAACGCGTGGCCGGCCCCGGGGCCAGAATTTCTGGGAGACGCGGAAGTCTCAGGTCCTCCTGGGGCCGCCGTGGGCTCCAACAAGGGCGAGCGGAGAGGGGTGTTGGGGAGGCTGTGGCCCCAGGCGCTCTGTGTCCCCGCCCAGCTACGGGGGGATGCTCAGCGCCTACATGAGGATCAAGTACCCGCACCTCGTGGCTGGGGCGCTGGCAGCCAGCGCACCCGTTGTGGCTGTGGCCGGCCTCGGTGACTCCTACCAGTTCTTCCGGGATGTCTCGGCGGTGAGTGAAGGTTCTGGGGCCCGCGGGCCGGACCAGGCTGTGGTGGCAGCTGCCACGATCCTCCCTTCTCCAGGACTTTGAAGGCCAGAGTCCCGAGTGTGCCCAGGGCGTGCGGGACGCATTCCGGCAGATCAAGGACTTGTTCGTACAGGGAGGTGAGCAGTCCTCCCCACAGCCCACTGACTGCCCCTCGCCTCCCTCCTTCCCCCCAGTCTTCACCCAACAGCAGCCTCCGAAGGCCTTCGTCCCGCCTTCTTCTGGCAGCCTATGACACGGTCAGCCAGGAGTTCGGCACCTGCCGGCCCCTCTCCAGCCAGAAGGACCTGACCCAGCTCTTCGGGTTTGCCCGCAACGCCTTCACGGTGCTGGCCATGATGGACTACCCGTACCCCACCGACTTCATAGGGCACCTTCCTGCCAACCCGGTCAAGGCAAGGAGACTCTGGCTGGGATCTGTGGACAGAGAGGGGCCCGGCCGCCCCGGGGTGGCCAGTGGTGGCCAGCCCGAGAGCCTTGAAGCCACTCTGGGGCCTGGGACCAGCGAAGGGTGAGCTGGGGAGAGGGCTGCAGGCCCAGAGTGTGGGTCTTTGGTTGGCACCCCTAGGTTGGCTGTGACCGGCTCCTGAGCGAGACCCGGAGGATCAAGGGGCTCCGAGCGCTGGCTGGTGCGTCTGCCCCTCGGCCCTGGGCCTGGTGCTGAGCGTGGGGGGGTGGGTGTGGCTTGGGGGCAAGGGTCACGTGGAGGCCAGGAGCACAGCTGCCCCCCCCCCCCCCCCCGTGCAGTCCCTAGCCCGGCGGGGGCCGGTGGGGGAGGCTCTGCTCCACGGGGTCTCCGACAAGTTCCAGCCCGGCCACCGCCTGGCCACCCTCAGCAGCCGGAGCAGCAGCTGAGAGCCCCGCCCCCAGGAGCCCCACGCCTCACGGGCACGCGTCCCCCACCGAGGGGGCAGGGTGGCCGTGCAGGCCCCCGGCCCCAGCGCCCCTCTCACCAGGGCTGGTGTACAACTCCTCGGGCACGGAGCCCTGCTATGACATCTACCGACAGTACCAGGCCTGCGCGGACCCCACAGGCTGCGGCTCGGGCCCTGACGCCAAGGCCTGGGATTACCAGGTCCGGGGGTGCCGCACGGGGGTGCGGGGTGAGGTCGCCCGCCCCGCCGGGCTGACCTCGGTGTGTGGCATCCCACAGGCCTGCACCGAGATCAACCTGACCTTTTCCAGCAACAACGTGACCGACCTCTTCCCCGACCTGCCGTTCACGGAGGGCCTCCGCCAGCAGTACTGCCTGGACACGTGGGGCGTGTGGCCCCGGAGGGACTGGCTGCGGATCAGCTTCGGGGCAGGAGGTGAGGCTCGAGATGGTGGCATCCTTCCCTCTGGGCTGAGCTGACCCCCCCCCCCCACTCCCCTGATCTCTGTGGCTCAGACCTGGGGGGCTGGGCCCGCTCTCCACCCCCACATCTGTGCTTTCAGACCTCAAAGCTGCCAGCAACATCATCTTCTCCAACGGTGACCTGGACCCCTGGGCAGGGGGCGGGGTGAGTCTGCCTGGGTTCGCCAGACTCCGCTCAAGAACCAGCTCTGCCCTCGCCAGGCTGCACACGTGGTTCTGTGGGTTCTGTGCCGCCTTCGCTCTTGTTCCCGCTTTATCCCCTCCCCTCCTTTGCTTTTTTCCCTGACTTCTTTGCGTGAACCGACATCTGGCTCGTTCATCTCCGTCCTTCCCTTTCAATGAGGCCGTTCAAGGCCACGTAGTGTCTTTTAAGTCATGGCCTCGGCTGTGCCCCACGGGCTGGGACACGAGGCCCTGGAGCAGGTGGCACCGGGCGGGCAGAGGTGGGGTCGGCCGTGGCCCAGAGCGCGGCGAGTAGCCGACGGAACGTCCTTTGACCGACACAGATACAGAGAAACCTCAGCACCTCCGTCCTCGCTGTCACCATCCGGGGGGGAGCCCACCACCTAGACCTCAGGTGCAGTCCTGCCCCGGCAGGGGAGCGACGTGGGACCCCAGGCCGTGGCCGGGTGTGGGCTGAGGTGGGGTGAGGCGAGGCTCGGGCCTGCTGCCCGGCTGAGGCCCCCGCGCCTTCTCCTTAGAGCGTCTCACCCACGAGACCCCACGTCTGTCCGGGAGGCTCGCAGGCTCGAGGCCAGGCTCATCGGCGAGTGGGTGGCCACAGCCAGAAGAGAACAGCGGCTGCAGCTGGCCCAGCGTGGGGGACTCGGGGGGGGCTGAGGAGCACTCCCCGACTCGGGACCGGACAGGCCCGCTGGGGAGCAGCTCAGGGCGCTGGGGGTGAGGGGCTGAGGCCAAGGGAGGGGCCAAAGAAGCATCTGGTGGCCTGGCTGTGCACAGCACAGCGCAAAGCATGGTGTCTGCGGTCCTCATGGGGTGACAGACCGGGCACACTGCCACACCTCTCAAGCCAGCCTCGTGTTTAATAAAACAAAGCCCTCAACCTGTGTGTGGTCTCAGGGCAAGGGGTGGGCGCTGGGGCCCCCTGTGGCCGGCCCAGGCGTCCTTCCGGGTGGCCCACTGGAGAGGGGGGCCGCAAAGCTCTACCCACGACCGCTACCGGGGCTGCACCCCTGGGTGGGCAGCTGCCAACCAGGCCCCTGGGTGCAGAGGGGCAGCCGACAGCCATGAGGGGGTACAGACCCCACTTCTGAGACAGGCCCTGGACCCTGTTCCAGGCACAAAACACACGGGACTAGGGGCCCAAGAGCAGAAGGCAGCCCCAAGAGCGGCCACCGGCCCCCAGGGCTGCTGGAGCGACAGGGGTATAGAGCGACTGAGAACTGAGGTCCTGCCCAGCACTGGGAGCCTTGGTCTCTGCAAATGCAGAGAGACTCAAGCTTTTCAGGCAAAAAAGACCTTCCGGAAAGAATATCACATAGAGAGGAGCTGGGCCTGTCCCACGGGGCCGCCTGGTTCCAGGAGGCAGGATCCCAAGCAGAAGCTGGGGTTTGTTTCTGGAAAAGCGCCCTGAGTCCGTGCTCAAGGAGAGAAGCAGCAGGTGCTGGAGGAGGAGCAGGTGCAGGGCATCAGCTCCCACAGGAACCTGGACTTCGTGTCCACACCGCCTCCTCCCAGCTCTCCAGCCTGATGGTGACGGTGGGAGTGTGACGCATGCCCCCACCCACGGCTCAAGGAACACAGGTTCCATCACAGACACGGGAGACATCAGTCAGGGCAAACCCACGTTTATGCTGCCTGGAAAGTCCGTTCTGTCGGGTGGTCCAGGA